CGGGTCACACGGGGGTCGGAAGACACATYCGTGGACGATGAATCGGTCGTCGGAACGGTTCGAAGAAAAGCGATGCCAATCTCTTCGACATGCTCGGAACGGCATGTGTCTCGAAAAGATTTGGCACTCACGACTTGGCACCGAATGGAAGAGCGAGGAGGAGGAATAGTACATGGGACCTCAGCGCCAGTTGCATCACGAATCGTGAGCGTGCGTCGATGGAAATTGACCGTGTGGTCCCCGCTAGAAAGCCAAGGCATCCCCAAAATGACATCGAAGTCGGTGTCCAACACGTCAAAAGTGACGGGTTCACATGCGTCCGGTGCAAAGTACACCGGGACAGCCGAGATGTAACGTTCCAAAAGTTGTTTCGTCTTACTGTCGGCAAGAGCGACCGTCGTTGGATGTGACTTCCTCCGTACTTGTGCGCCAAGGCCAGCCCGAGTCATGAAGGACTGGCTGATGAAGTTGCGAGTTGCGCCGCAATCGTTGCAGGCCGCTTGCCCAATCTGAATGCGAACGTAGAGCAACGGTGCGTTGTTTTCTTCGTACCGTTGCGAGACAAACTCGCGGGCCACCTTGGCAACATAGCCAAGCATGTCCCCCACCGCGACTTCGTCTACCGTCGGCGAAGTTGGTGGTGCATGGAAGGAAAGATACTCGTGTAAGAGGGCGCATAGGGCTGCGCTTTGTGGCCCCGGGGTTGCCCGTCGTAGGGAGAGGAATCCAAGCGAAGTCCTCGGGCGTGAGCGGGTCCAAAGCCTCCTCGTTGAAGACGCTTGCCGAATCCCTTGATGAAGGTGAACTGGCGGAAGAACCTTCGGACGGTGAGAAAGACGCACATGTATCTTGTTCTTGAGAAGCATCCAGTGAAGGAACGAGCCGGGCAGCGAAGTCTTCGAACGAAAGTGGAAGACTCCCGACATCCGCATATGCCTCGGAAGAAAGGGCGGTCGTGGCCACAACCGCTTCGGATGTCGTCGAGGGAGGTGTCGAGTCACCCTCAGCGGCGCCTACTTTCCCGGACGGGGTTTCCCCCTGGTGGGGCAATGTGCAGCATCGTGGATGGTGCTGTTGCACCAAAGGCAATAACGGTACTTGAGTCGCGTGCGATAGGAATTCGTCGAGAGTCCGTATTGTGCCCAAGGTTCGTCGGCCGCTGATCCGGTGCTCGGTGTAGAGGTGGACTGAGTCTTCGTCTTGTCGCGGCCGTGGTTGTTGCGCGGCCGGCCAACCATCCCGGGCAGCTGCCAACACTTCACCCTCGTTTGGTGTTGCAGCCTCGGTAGAAGTAATGCAAGCCACCTTTGGCTTGGGCTGGGTGCCGCTCGTCGTCGCGGAAGATCGGTCGGCGTCGAGGGCTTCGATATTCGTGAGAATGATCCGTGACGCTGTGCTGAAAAGCTTGTCAAATGTGTCGAGTGTCTCTGCAATCTGCGTCAGCGCGTTTTGCAGAGCTGGACACGAGCGCATGATAAACAAGTGTTTGATGGCGCGGAATGCGAGCGGCAGGTCAGGTGTGGAGGCGAGTCTTTGGAACTCGGTAATCCAGTCCTGACTGAGCAGCGTGTTCTGATGGAGCTTGTTGAGCTTGTCCATCGCYTGCAGGTCGGGCGGCTCCACTTGGAATCGCTTGTGCCAGGCGTCAGTCAACTCCTGCCAAGTGAGCTTGGTGTGCAGTTCCGACAATGCTACGCCGTGGCTGGTCAAGATGTTGTCCAGCCATGCTTGACACGCACCACCAGATCAGTGGTACAAGCACGGATGTCGATCGTTGTTCGAGACATGGTGCATGTCGAGCCTGAGAGTAAACTGGCGCCACCACGGGATCGGTTCCGTCTTGGACTGATCGCAGAAGACTGGAATGTCATCTAGCTTGGGTGGGCGCCTGGAGGATGTGGCGGCGGGCGTCACGGTGGCAGCCGCCTGGACCTGCGTCTCCAACTGCAAGTTCGTTGCTTGCTGCGACGTCCTGAAGTCCTGATGCACACGCTTGATATTGCTGACGTCGTCCTCCAAAACTTGAACACGGGTGGCAAGGTTTGAAGGCCCTGCGGCTGCTACAGCGGCTGGCTGTTTTTCCAACGCCTGTAGCCGTGCGAGCATCTGGTCCACTGTCTGCTGCAGGTGAAGGATTTCCTCTTGCTGCAGAACGCAGGTGGCCACGAGGTCGTGGGAGACCTGCGCAAGGGCTGACAGCCCTTTCTCAGTCTCTGGGGCCTCGTCTGCAGATGCCACTTGCACCCAATGTGCGGCCTCCCGCTGGCGTGACCGATGTTCGGCTGTCGCCTGCAGGTCTGCCTCCTCTTGACGAAGTCGGTCCTGTTCTTCCTTCTGTCGCTTGGCCTCCTCTTCTTGCTCAATCCGACCACGTTCCTTGGCCGCGGCGCCAGCCCTGTCATTGGCCTCCTGGATGACAGCAGCCAGGCATTCCTCATAGGCCAGGAGGGATTCTCCCTCCTTCCGGTCCATGGTCTTGGTCTGTGATCGAGTGAGTCGTGGCATGCACTGCTCTGAAGAGTCACCTATGGGCCAATCAAATAGACTGGCCCAGTATTCGGACTGGAGGGGAAAGAACAGGTAGGCAGCAGACAGGTGGGAAGGATCGGACAGATCCCAAATTGAACAGTTCCCTAATCAAAAAAGAAAAAAAATAATTTTTGATTAAGAAATAAATCAAAATTCGAAAAAGACTGTCCAATCCCACTGAGTACCGAAGGTGATGCAGCAAGCAAATGTAAACCTTCGGTGCTCAACTGCAGAGAATCAGAAAAGAAGTATCTTTACAACTCAGAGTAGGAGTAGGTTGCAGAAAGGAAAAAATGCAAAAGAACGGAATTTGCAAACCTACGCAGTGAAGGTGTAGAGGGACATTTTCGGAAAAAGAATCGAATTTGTCAAAATGCAGACATTTAACAATTAAACAAGGTAAAAAAAAATTCTCGGAAAAAGAATTCTCAAAACGAAAAAAAAAATTCTCGGAAACCAAATTTCTT